GGCGGAGGCGGAGGCAGAGGCGGAGGAGGAGGAGGCGGAGAGGAGGAGGAGGGGGAGGAGTGAGGAGGAGGAGGGAGGGAGGAGGAGAGAGGAGGAGGAGGAGGAGGAGGGAGGATGAGGATGATGAAGGAGTTAGGATGAGGAATCAGACAAACAATAAGCATACTAATAATAATACTAATCTGAAAGAGTAATACTAATGGTAATAAGAATAATCATCATAAATCACAAAAGTAATAATAAGTCGAAGCATCATATCCATACTAATGATAGTAATAAGACAAATGATAATAACAAGACGGGGCGAGGAGGAGGAGGACGAGGACTAGGAGGAGGATGAGGACGAGCGAGGAGGAGAAGGAGGAGGAGGAGCGAGAAGGAGGAGGAGCGAGGAGGAGCGAGAGGAGCGAGGGTCTTCTTGGCTTCCGTCCTCGCCGCGCTTCAATGCCTCTCTTCCTGGCCCCCGCGCCGCGCCCCGCTGGCGTTGCGAGGACGCGGGCGCCGGGGAGTTCCGCTCGCGGCTGGGCGACCCTGACTATTGCCTGGGGGTGCGTTCCGTCCGTCCGCCGCCCCCCCCCCCCCCACCATCAGGGGCAACGTCTGGTGGGAATTCGGTCCAACACCTTCGCTGCGACACGCTATCCTCCTGGCTCCCGGCGTCCACGTCCGGAGCCTTTCCGAGCCTCCCGCCCCGCGGAGCGGAGCGCCGCGCTCTCCGCTCGCAGGACAGAACGTGTCGCCGGGGCCGCCGCGGCGACACGCTGTGCAAAAGTTCCTGACCGTGATCAGGCTCTACGTGTTCATGGGCGGCCTATCCGATCCTTAGCAAATCGTCCTTTCGTGACGCCCCCCTCTTCTCGCCCCACGACGTATGTGTACGGCTGGAGGATAGCTTGAGAGGCGCGAGGGGGCGTCACGGAGGGGGATGGTTCGCCAGGGGTCGTTGAGGCCGCGCCCGATTCATCGGCCTTTGATCGCCCTCGGTCTCGGCCCTCGTGGTACCGTTCGCCTGGCCCCGGGGCCAGCAACCGCGAATTTGGCGACTCCCGCCGCCCTCCCTGAAGGTACATGTAAAATTAATCGGAGGGTGTCTGTGTGTATATGTATGTATGTATTTATGTCTGTCTGTCTGCCTGCCTGCCTGCCTGCCTGCCTGCCTGCCTGTCTGTCTGTCTGTCTGTCTGTCTGTATTTATGTATGTATGTGTGTATGTATTTATGTATGTATGTGAGTATGTAGGTATGTAAGTATGTAAGTCTGTAAGTATGTAATTATGTAAGTATGTAAGTATGTGAGTAAGAAAGTATGTATGTATGTATTTATGTATGTATGTATGTATGTATGTATGTATGTAGGTAGGTAGGTAGGTAGGTAGGTAGGTAGGTAGGTAGGAAGGTATGTATACATATATATATATATATATATATATATATATACATACACATATTCGTGACGCAGGAGTTGCCGAATGCGTTCCTTGCGCCGCTTGCAGCCCCACGGGCGCTGCTGGGCCTCGTGAAAGGTGCTCTGGTGCTCTGGAGGCCGCTCGGGCCTCCGCGGAAGGCCTGGAGACGCTCTGGGCCGGGGACACTTCTCGTTAGGGGAGGGTGGGCTCGGGGGGGAGCGCATCGATCCCCCAATCTTACGTCGGCCTGTCCCTCTACAGGAGGCAAATTCAAAAATAGGCCAACAACAAGGTATGGGAACGATTTTGATATTTTTCTATTTTTCGTCCAAAATCCCCCTGTAGGGGGACATGCCCGACCTGGCCCACACCGCCCGTTCATTGGCGACGGTGACCTCATAGCCGACCCCGCCCTGGACTCTGCGGATTCGCTATCGGAGGGCTCTCGCCGATCCATCGGCGATGCATCGCCGATCCCAGACCGATGCTGCCCCCCTTGGCAGATCCCCCCCTGAGGTTACCCCTTCTGGCAGATTCCGAGTCGGAGGGATCCTTGGCGTCCTGTGGTGGCAGAGCTGGGGATGTGGCGCAGCAGAGGAACCGGGCACGGTTTTTGCTCAACGTTTGGCGCTCGCCTCAGCGCCGCGCGCATTCGTCTCAGACGTTTGCAGCAGCTACAGGGATGAAGGGCGGGTTCTTTTCAGAATGGGTCTTTCAACTGAGACCTCTTGACAATTAGAAGACATACACTTGCACATGTGCACATCTGTAACAGCTGCGCGGGTGCAGGTCGGTTGCCCCTTTTGTAGTGAATCAGAAGACCTGCAGGGACTTCAGTCCCCACCAGCCCATCCAGAAACGATGCCCATGGGAGTTGATGTGATCATGGAAGTGGGGGAGCATGCAGCAGAACAAAGGGCGGGGGAAGCCGTCATATATCCCAAGAGAGGGAGGATGGAGGAGGAATCGTCGTCGTCGTCGGAAAAGGAGGAGGAGGACGCGGATGATGATGATGATGATGATGATGATGATGATGATGATGATGATGATGATGATGATGATGATGATGATGATGATGATGATGATGATGATTATGTGATGATGAGGATGATGGATGATGATGATGATGATGATGATGATGATGATGATGATGATGATGATGATGATGATGATGATGATGATGATGATGATGATGATGCATGTGATGATGATGATGATGATGAGGACGCGACGATGAGAGGACTGATGATGATGATGATGGATGATGCTGATGATGATGATGATTCTGGCTTGCTGATGAGGACGATGATGATGATGAATGACGATGAATGATGATGCTGATGATGATGATGCTATGGATGATGATGATGATGGTGGTGGTGGTGGTGGTGGTGTGATGATGATGCATGATGATGCTGCTGATGATGCTGCTGATGATGAGGATGATGGTGAATCATGATGATGATGAGGATGATGATGATGATGATGATATGATGATGATGATGATGATGATGATGATGATGATGATGATGATGATGATGATGATGATGATGATGATTATGATGATGATGATGATGATGATGATGATGATGATGATGCTGACGATGATGATGGTGGTGATGATGATGATGATGAGGAGGAGGAGGATGAGGAGGAGGAGGGGGAGGAGGAGGAAGAGGAAGAGGAGGATGCGGAGGAGGAGAACTAATAATGATGATACTAGGAATAAGACGAACCATAATAACACTACTACTACTACTAATAATGATAATAATAATATAAGCCATGGGAATCACATCAAGAGTAGTACGAGCAATACGAATAATGATACGATTCGTAATATTTGTACTGATAGTAGCAATCTTAGGACTAAGCACAATGATAATATCAATCATGCCAACTCTGCGAAAACTAATAATCATACTAACACTAGTAAGAACAATCGAACTAACAATACGCGTAATAATACTAGTACACGACTATTAAGAGCAACGACGGCACTACCAATAGTATGATTCATACGAAGACTGATACTACTTCGAACAGTAATACTACGAATATAACTAATAATCATGGCAACACTAATAGTAATAAGAGAAGGAGGGAGAGTTGGAGTATGGCGAGGACGAAGAGGACGATGAGGAGGAGGAGGAGGAGAAGGAGGGATAGTTGGGTACCTCGGGGATCCTCTTGAGGCATCGTATGGGGTCTCTCGGGAGCCTCTTGGAGGCCTCTTGGGGTAGTCGTGGCGCCCTCTGCGGCCCTCTCGGGGCGCTCTTCGGAGCGTCAGGGGTGCTCTTGGGGCCATCTTGGAGGACATCGATCAAAAAAGAGGAGAGCTCTAATTGGCGCCCCCCCTCGGGAGCCCCAAAAGTCGCCTCTTGGGGCGCTCTTGGGGCGTTCTTGGAGCGCTCTTGGGCGCTCCTGGGCCCGTCTTGGGGCTCTCTTGGGTCTCTCCTAGGGCCCTCTTAGGCCATCTTGGAGCCATCTTGAGGCCTCGGATGGCAATCGGAAGCGAAAAGGCGAGAAAGTAAAACACATGGATGCTCCTTAGGTTTGGGAGAAATGTTGGCTTCTTGGAGGCATCTTTGGAGGTCTTTGAGGCGTCTTGGAGCCGTCTTGGAGCGTTCTTGGGGCCTCTTGGAACATCTTGGGGGCCGACTTGAGGCATGCTGGACTATCTTGAATCATCTTGGAGGTCATCCTGGGCTCTCTGAGGCCCTCTTCGAGCCATCTTGGGCGAAAGAATACCCTCTGACACCTCGCGGGGCGCCCCGTCCAGGTCCAGGGGAGGGGGTAGGGGGGAGGGGTGAACCCCTCCCCGAAGGGGAAGAAGGGGGTTGGAAGAGGAAGCCCCCTAGACCACCTATGCCCAGAGGGCTGGTGGGATTAGTGCGTTAGGGTGTCCTGTAGTAGCGTTGATGCATCTTGGGTTTACCGTGGTCCTTCCACCCCTCCTCCTCCTCCTCCACCACCTCCTCCTCTTTCGCCTCTTTTTCTCCGCCTCCTCCCTCCCCCCTCCACCAAGGGCCGGGGGGCACCTCCCCGCCCCCGCCACCAAGGGGGACCCCCGGGGCGTTGGGGGCCGTGCACCTGCGGGCCCCCGGCCACGACACAGATAGACCCACCGGACACAGCCTCCGGAGTGGGCCCGTGGCGCTCCTCCCCCCCCCAAGGAGGTGTAGGAGGAGGAGGAGGAGGAGGAGGAGG